TTACCATCAATCTTTTTTCTTCCTTTCCAGCAGAACCTATGTGCTCACTGGTGTGAAACTGCGGGTCTGGGTTTTGTACACTCCTCCGAACCCCATCTTCATATATTTCACCAGTCGGATCGCCCGGCTGTCGCCGGGCGCTCCTCCTTCTGTGACAGGATTGCCGCGTGCTAAGTTAAGGATCGTTGACCAACCACACTGTTCAAAGGAATCTTCTGCATCAGCCAAGAACTGAAAAGCAGCGCTTGTTCCGTCAAGGCGCAGAAGCAGCAGCGCCCCCCCCCGCATCACAGAAGGAGGAAAGCCGACCTTAGCCAGCTATCCGACTGGTACGTTATAACCTCACGGAATGGTGGCAGCTGTTTATCAGCACTGAAGCAGCTATGATATTTATGCAATCTGTCTTCTACTAAGAGTCTTGCTTTGGAGCACTAACCCAAGCATCAGCAGTGGAACCCTTTAAATGGCCCTCACTGAAGTTGCTGATGGAAGATAATTGTGGTAAGAGTGATAAAGTCAGTTGCTGCTGTTCATAACATCTCTGTAAACCCATGCACATTTGGAATAGAGCTGGCTTAGCGGTCGTACACGATGTCGTTACTAATAAGCAGTGAGGAATGAGTTCTGTTGGAATCACTGAGATCGTTATACTTGAGTCATATCGATCGCATTGTTGTTGTGAGCGGTGAAGCGGATTTTCCCATGTTACCTTGTCACTTTTAGCTCCTATCACTTCCGTACCCGCCAATAACTTCGTCCCGTAATCACTAAAATTAACCTACATCACCTCTTGACGGCGTTCCACTGTTGGCTGTGACCTGCGCTACGAATTTGATGACCCTCCCCTTCCGAGGCCGCTTATCGGTATCTTATCAACTGTTATCACTTTCTGTCGCCCGCCAAATGATGTTCACCGTCCCACAACTATACCCTTCACGGATCTGAGTTCCACTGTTGCTGTAACCTGCGCCACGAATTTGATGACCCTCCCTCTTCCGAGGCCCCTTATCGGATCTTATCAACTGTTATCAGCTTCTGCCAGCCCCACCCTACGCATATCAGTACTTGAAATCATGGTCCCGCCGTTGCTGCAACTTGCCACGAATTCGGTCACCCTCCCCTTTTAAGGCCCCTTATCGAATCTTATCAAGTGTTATCATCTCCTGTCACCCATCAAATGTTGTTCCGTCTGCATGTACGGGGGGGCAAAAAAAAAAGACCATTTTCTCCAGATCAACATATTCAGCAAAAGTTTCGACGCGCAGACAGAGAACGGGCGATACCGAGTAAACCAGGGCGGAAGATCCCAAGATGTCTCTATAGAGGAGCTGGCGCTCGCCCATCACCTTGATGTACACCAAATATGAAGTCATCTCCAGCGGCAACCTGACTGGAGAAGACCTTCGGAATTCATGTCACCTCCGAACAGCTGCGAAACTTCTAGTATGGAGTCACCCATGGATAGCTACCTGGAGATCAGTACTATCGATCTGGAAGACCCTAACATCAAGCAGCTCCGCCAAACGTCGCTACGGTCCAGGACATCATCTTCACCTCAAGTCGCCAAAGGCGCCACGTTGATGGTGGGGACCGGACTACGCTGAGGATGCGGAGATATTTCTTGTGGCGGACTAAAGGTGAGCGCTGGCGGTTACATCGAGCAACTGAAGAAGAATATCCTCCCCACATGTCGCCGCCCCTACCTTCCTGGAAACTTTGTACTGCTACAGCATTGGGTGCCACCACGTGGAATCGAAGGGCGTTGGAGAAACTCTCGCCTACTTGGAAAGGAAGGGGGCTGAGTACCTGAGGAAGGTGGAATATCTAAGCAGGTAACCTGAACTAAACCCCATCAATTACTTGGGCGGATAAATAGGGTGGTCTACAGTGCGAGGAAATAAACGGATCTCGCTGAATTCACGCACGACTGACGGCTCGTGGAATCTTCTGCGATGGCGCTCCTCCAGAAGGCTGTGGCGGAGTATCATGATAGTATTTAATATGCTCTTTAATATGGTGGTAGAAGTGTCCGATAAGAATTTAATAAAGTGTAGTTATAGCGCCTCGAAAGTCGAGGAAGAAAAAAGTCTTTTTTTTATGGCCCCCCTGTAAGTCCTCCTTGAAATACGTCGCACAGCTGCTGCATTTTGCGCTAGAATGTTGGTCACCCCCCTTCTAAGGCCCCTTATCGAATCTTATCAAGTGTCATCACCTCCTGTCACCCATCAAAAGTGTTCCCGTCCTGCCATGTATATCACTCCTTAAAATCACGGCCACACCTGCTGCAACTTGGTTGTACGAATTCAGTCCCTCGCCCTAACGGCCTTATCGTATCTTATCAAGTGTTATCACCTCCTGACACCCACCAAAAGTGTTCCCGTCCTGCCATGTATATCACTTCTTGGAACTGTCATCCTATCTTTTCTGCGACGCTCGCTATGAATTTCGTGACACACACACACACACACACACACACACACACACAACACACAGCGGATTATATTATAGTAGGATCCTATAGACAATTGTGTTGACGAACATACTTTCTGAGGCTTCCTTCTCCCACGCCTTTGCCAGCTCACATTTTCTTTCAAGCCGCCTGTTCAAGGCGATACATGTTTTAGGAATGGAAAGTCAGAAGATGAGGGGACTTCTGTAAATCCTCTTCACATGGTTTGTCCAGTCTCAAGTGCAAACAAAATTTGGCTATTGCATAGCCTTACAGTAATTTACAACTGTCCCCAGGTGGCATCGGAAGTGGTCGATGGAAGCCACTAAAATGCCCTCACCTAACCGAACTGCACCGGGTTCCTGAGGGAGACTCTTTGGTTGGGGCATGCTCTTAAAGAGAAATCGAAATGGACTGGGTTTATAACGCACCAGTTGACAATCAACGTTCACCGATCGAAAATCTGGTATTCCATCTCCGACCTTTATCAGAACGTAACTATTGACAACGGCATCACTTAGAGAGACACGCAACGATTATGTGATATTTTAAGCAACTGTAGGGGCAAGGATTGGTCTTAGCCCGAATGTGAGAGATAATCAAATGGGTCGTACGCGGAGAAATTTTCAAAGCTTTGCAAGCTTTCATTGTTCATGTGCTTTTCTTTCCCTTCCTAATTTTTCAGGGTATGGGGCTGTTTCATGGCACTGACCATTTCTTTTCTCGGAATCTCAGCACTGAGGCTGTTTTCTTACAACTTTTGCACATTTTGTTGACTGGAGAATTTACCATCTGTCTATGCCTTCGACCAGACGCTCTTTCTCGCCGGGGGTCGAACCCGTTATAGCAGCAAAACGATGCCACGCTTTGTTATCCCTTAAAAGAGCAACAACAACAAATAAGCAAATAACAAATGGTGGTAACGTTCCGCTGCCGTTGCGGCGTCTCGGTCTCGAAAAAAAACGCAAAATGGACAACGTAGTAGAATGGGGTAGAACGCCTTATCTGCCTTATGTACATTTGTGACGCGTGAAATAACTTTGAAATATTAGGTTGAGATCGAAAAGTCTGCGATAACATTTGTTTGAAATATTCTAGAAAAAGACCAAAATCATTTCGAATGTTTTCATCTCTGATTAGTGGAGACTGTCTCCTGAGGTTTCTGAAAATGGGTATATCATGGCTCCGTGGAAGTTTTAAAGCTTAAATCTCAGAGATGGGTACTGTCTGACTATCCATATTATGAGTTCCTGTAGGGCAACTCCGCCATAGTCGAGGAAGCTAACACTTACGTTGTCTTGAGGAAGGATATCGCTTGCCATAGCAGAGAGTTCCTTTTGCATCAGCGCTTCCAGGCTGGACTTATTCAACTCGGAAGTAGGCAATGTATAGGTAGGCCACCAGCACAGAATGACGGCTTTACTCAAAAGCTTCTTGAGGCGCAGACCGAAACGTAACCACCAGTAAGTTGGCAACCTCTCTAGGCTCCACCTAACTGACAACTGCCATGCTTCTCCGCAGTCTCGGTTATCGGAAAATTTTTTATGAAGGATGCCTCATGAGTTGAACCCCTCTGACAGTATACGAATGACCGTGACTGAGTTTTTTTTTTTCCTTGTACACACTGGAGGAACATTTGTGAGATCTTGTGGTTGGTAGAGAGTGGTGGGGTCCTTGCGTACATCTTGCACATGTTCCTCGCAGGATCTCTCAGAGAAAAGTAGATTGCACAGCCAAAAGCAGATGTGCATGGGATAAAGATTTCAGTAGGTTTTGGTGGGACTTCAAAGCGGTATCTCTGGATACTAGCATAACGGTAAGGACTACAGTCCACTCTAACCAACCTCACAACATGGATGACGTCACGCTTGAATTCAAAAAAATACTCAATTTTTCTCTACGCTCGGCAATCGCGAAGACCGTCATGTAAGGATCAAGGCACCAAAAGATGTGGTGCTTGATTGTGAATGGCGACCTATAGGCTTATTCATCAAAGTTAGCAGTCTCTAACTACTACTTTTTTGATCCCTAATGCATCCTTAAGAAGGCCAAAATTCCGAAAATCGACGTCTACTCAAAAATGAGGTCCACCTCTTCTTCTTATCATAGTTGCCGTAGTTCTATAAGAATGGAAATGAGAAGCTGTGCAAAAGAAGGGCACTAGTCCTAGTCCTTAGTGGTGATTACCTTGTAGATTGGAGATGTCTTTTAGTGACTGAAAATTTAGTCCGAAAAATTGGTCAAAGTGTCGCAGGACTTTTCGACCAACCTAATAGTTCTGACAACTGTAGTCGATACGCAGCAGCAGAACACCATCTCAGTGAGAGGCGCAGACTTGCGAACTGAAGTGGCATAGTCGCCATGGCGTGTGAACACCTCTACAGTCGAGCCCGCAGACGTTTTATATGCCCTATCAGCAATGATAGTAGTTATCCATACTAATCAATAGTAATATTGAAAGTTATCACTTGCCATAGAATCCACTTTTAGAATGGTGACTGGGTACGTATTCTCTGCGAATTCGGTGATCTCATCCTGATACCGGCTAACACGTCTTCGATCGGACGCAACACACAGGTGAGGTCATCTATTAACTAGTTCAATTTAGTGAATTTGACACCATACTTCCCGATCATATCTCAGCATGGTCGCACTTGTGAGGCACCATCTCTAAAGACTAACAAAAGGCACCCTCCCACCTTGAGCATCTCACATGCTTCACAATGGGATGTTTTAGCATTACACTAATGATACAGCTTGAAGTAATCTGTTAAGGTACCCACAACAATGCATCATCCTACTATTATCATTTGATCCCTAGGTGGAATGTACCTAGTTATTAACTTATTACACCTGATATCATAAGAGCCATCATCAATGAGCCACAGCGGTCTAAACTACGTACTGCTGCGCAAAAACTGTATTTTAGAGCAACCTGGTGAAAAGCAAAATAGGTGTACCCTCCGGAAGAGCTTCTGTTCGGCAAGGTCTAGTCCAGTTACGGAGTAAGTACCTGCTGACAGAAGATACCACCAAGGACCAAACGACCTGACGATCATAAAAAAGGCTATTCATAAGATGACCGTGCTTCTGATTCGAATTCTGATAAGCTTGCTTTTCAGAATTTCGTCAAAATGCGCAGATTCTACAAAGAGAACGATCAGTAAACTATGATACCCTCCCCGAATGGCCGAACAATCGAATGCACAAAGTATGTACATAGATAGTGGCCACCTTACACGAGAATTTGTATGTATTCCTATGTTTGATAAGTGTATGTATCTTTCTATATACTCCATACAGCCTTTAGTGAATAATAATAATATAAAAATGATACATCAGAAATCTCAAGATAAGTACTACCACCGCTTAAACGCATAACCAACATAGAAGGAATTTAAATTAAGCTCAGATGATTTTATGTGTCTAGAAATGAATCACACAATTCAATGTGTACATTATTCGTATTCGTACTAGCTTGTTCACTCTGATCGTATTAGGGGAGTCAGTAATGCTGTGCCTAATGATGCGCGTACATTTCGTTGCTATCTTGAAAGGCAGGCGGAGCAGATCAAATGGGGTAAGGCGCGATGGTTCGCTCAATCCGCACATAGCTTCAGCCTGAAAGCTGCCGTCTGTTCATTGTGATCAACTTCATCTCTTAGAGGTGTACTGCATGATTCGCTGGGTGGTAGAAGCTCTTCCCCGAAAGAATTGCCCCAGTTCAGATCTGTATGAAGTAGGTCGCTCCCGTCAGGAGACCTGCTACAACGAGTATCTCCGCCCTTAGCAGGTATAAATGTCCTGCCATTGCGATCGGTTTCTTCGGCTTCAAGGGTCTAGGGCAGACTGGCAACTGCCCTGTAAGTCAACGGTTATGTGCTACTACTAATTATAGGAAAAGTTAAAAACGAAAAATTTTGTCGAGGGTTCGGAAAAAGTTCCATCCATGTAACTGCGATCCCACTTGCCAAAGTACTGGGTCGGCCCAAAGTAATGGCGTTTTTTCTCACTCGAAATATCGCGCTAAAGATGAAAACTTTTGCCATTGAGTTTTACACTGTTTTGCAAAGAATTCCTTGCCCTATACGACAGTTTTCTTAGTTTTCTTGAATTTTCTCTTTCCACTAATATTTAAGTGCTCAAACTGGAGTGTCAGGTCGACGAAATTGAGCATTTTCGACAGCCTCTCTTCTTACTTCTAATTGAGAAGCTAAAACCCGGTTGCTAAGTATATGGCAAAAAGGCTATGTCTCTTAGAAATGCTCACAATAGTTTAGGTGATTCGAAGATTTCAATATCGACCCCACAGACAAGCATCGAACCTAATGCCCTATTGAGTCCAACTGAGAGCTTACTGAATAGCCTTATTCATGGAGATTCATACCAAGGATGGAGAATCGTTAGAGGTCATGGAATGGTTCCTTACCATCATCAACCACCACCCTCAGTTGATGTTAGACGTTCGAAAATAGGTGGGCAGGTTCTGCAGGCAGTCCATCCCCTAAGATGCCCCCCCATGCATTGCACTACAAGGTCCGAAAACCCAATCGCGATCGCTTGAACCAACTTAAGGCTGCCATAAGAGACATCTTCCCTTGGTCCTATACAGCACAAGTTCGAGCTTCTTCTGTGATTTGAGAGCCGAGAAAAAGTGCAAAAAGTCATTGTCGAAAACTTACTTTTGTGTTGACCCGACTTTCCATTTCAATGGAATAAAAATCGACAAAATCAAGAAACAGTAGGAAGGCAACGACATATCTTATAGAGCAGAAAATTATCTATCAAACAGTGTAGGAACACATTGGGAAAAATTACCATTTTCCATATAAAAATTTGCGTGAGAAAAAACGCCATTACTTATGGGCCAACCCAATACAACTCTCTCATTAGCGGAGAACTACGACCCCTTATGAGATTCTTTTGAGGAACTCTGCCTAGATACGACTGTGAATCGTTGGATGGTAGCGTACCCAGTCTCATCGCAAGACTGCGAGTGGTAACCACCAGGTCCTCTTTAACAGCATCAAAAAGAATATCTTCTTCAAAGTAGAGGCTCGTTTCGACTAGGTTTGTCACAAAAATTGGGTGGTGTGTATTGAGAACCAGCTGTGTCTTGATGACTGATGTCCTCCCCTAATGCGCTCCTGATGTTCCCCCAAGGCTCCGAGAATGTTCTCCAGCTGTAGAGGGTGGCGAGACAGCAACTGCGCCATACAAACATTCCACTTTCATTTTCTTTCCGCCAGCATTTAATAAAATCAATGTTGAAAAAGTCAATCAAAACATTCTATAATAACAAAAATCTTTGTCCGTCATCAGCTTTGATATAGACGACTCAATGTTTCTTCGTCGTATAGACTATTCGGCAGCGGTAACTAATGTGAATTCTGACTTTCGAAAAGGTGCGTTCGCGAAGTTGCCGACCTTCCGTGTTTCAACTGCTGAGATGCTCTTCTATAGTTCCCAAACAGAAAACTCTCTTGGATCCGGATCTGCGCTGTTGGGAGGTCCTTCGTAAGGAAGGAGCCGAATTCCCCCCCCCCCTCCAGGAAGTAATTTGTTGCATTAGCACCATGACATGAAGGGCACATCTGCTTTAACGAAACACTGAGAGAATTTTGCTCCTGAAATGAATATTCCGTTATGATGAAGTATGGAGATGTGCTTAATACAAATTTCAAAATGGAGTCGAACACGGCGCGCACATAATCCTTCGCTACCTTAAAGGCAGTTGGCACGATAAATCGCTATACAGATGTAGGATTTATACGACTGGCTTAACAGAATTCCGTGACCTCGGACAGGCGCTCCGTGGCGCCTTTTCCAAGGAGGGTACCCCTATAACGCCCTATCGAGCAACAACATTCCGTCCCAAACGCCTTCCT